CACACCGCAGTTCAACAAGCTCGCTTAAACTGGTCTCAACGCGCATGCAGACCGCTGTAGCGCACTTAAACACAACTTCACTTGTATTTAATGTACCTCACATATCAATGACGCCTACTCCTATCGTCCCGGCGTGTTTTTTTTTTGGGGGGGACGCGTTTTTACGAAAACTGTCTGCAAGGAACGCGTGCAACTACAGTTGTCAGTGCACAGAACACATGGTAGTGCACCTAGGTCTTCGAAGGCATGATTGGCCAGTCTGACAGTGGTTTCTGATTTCTGATATATATATATATATATATATATATATATATATATATATATAATTGTATATATAGGCATGTTTGGACAAAAAGCAAAACTTAGAAATAAGAATTAATCTTTGGGAAAGTCTTTCTGTTCATGAACCTTCTCCAGCCCTAAACCAACAAATTCTTGCACACCATTGAGTTATTTGGTGGTGGACGGTGAGCGCTATTGATGTGATAGCAATGACAATGTGTTCCTGTCTTTGTAGTGTTTCCATTAATGGTGCATTTTATGTGTATCAAAGAGATGGTTGGAATCTGTCTTACTTCAACTGACCATGCTTCATTTGTCTATCTGTGCTAAAAAAATTCCGATGCACAATTTGCATCCGTAAAAACTCAAAGCTTACTTTTTTGCCGTTTTGACTTCCCCGACGATGAGATAAAATCTCGAAACGCAAGAACGTACAGATTGACAAATGTATGAATCATTTTGCACGAACCACACTTGGTCTAAAAGAAATTGCGAAGTCAAAAGCACGGAAACTCGAACAGTGCATTCATAAAAGGTCGTTAATGCTGAGATAGCAGTCATTTGTAATCAGACCTGTATAAAAGAACGGATTCTGCCAAGATATACCTATATATTCATATATATATATAGATATATATATACATATATAGGATATATGTATCCTATATATATATATATATGTGTATATGCATATATATATATATATGTATTTATATACATATATATATATATATATATAAAATATATGTATCCTATATCCACGCCAAAACTATCAAGGACATGGACGTTTGACCTTGACCCCTTTCTTTAGAGTTCTCCATAGCATGTAAAAGCATGAAACACACATGTCGCTCTCCTTAAACTTTAACTGCCTTACTCATACCATTTTTTAACGTATGCAACACTTCCGTTGTCACCTTGATGTGGTTTTTGATCTGATTAGTTTAGAACTGGACCAAAACTAAAAGTTTTGTTCAGTCTGTGTCGGCTACATTCTGCTTTCAGATCTCACGTGACAGTTTGTATTTTAATAAAGGAGATGAACAGAGCAGGTTAGCAACTGGTAGTATGGCAGCCATGAAATCGCACAGCCATATGCGTTTACATATACACAAATACAGATGCCGGTTTGGCATTGTAGCGGATGAAAGGAAAGCTAGAGGGCAGCTGAAAGAGAGTAATAGAAGCCGTTTTATTATCTAGCTAATTACGGGGAAGATTTGAGTTTGTTGTTTGTTCGATGTTTGTATGTTTGATGTTTGTATGATGTTGATATGTTTGACATAAGATTTATGTGGACACATGCAGCATCCCTCCGCGAAGACCTTCTGAAATCCGACGTCAGTGTTCGGCTGTGTCCTCTTCCGGAGCGGCGCCATCGACCTAAGTCTGCTGTTGCCGGTCGTTGGCTGATCGTGCTCTGCTCGGCAGCGTCGTTGTTCCGCCGGGAGGGCTCCAGCCGGGAGGGCTCCGAGGAGGGAGCCGAGGATGGCGAAGGTTCGGAGCGGGGCAGCCGGCGGCCCTCCGTCTACCGCGTCATGCGCTACAACAGAGCAGGGTGAGTTGGTCGGCCGGCAGCCCGCTGCTGCCCGCTGCTCTATCGATCACCCATCCCATTTAGTATCACTGAATATCAGTGATGCATGGATGTGAAGTCTCAAAGTGTTTCCGTCGGTCGGCGTCGTTGAATACGAAAAGCGACTGGAAAGAACGAGCAGCACTTGCTCGTTGACCATGCATGCGGCAATTAAGCTTTGCTCCCTGAAATTAGTGCCCAGACCTTAATCTCGTCTCCAGCTGATGTGGACCAGCAGAGTGGTGGCATCTTCCAGTCACTAGTGTCACGTCTGCGTCAAGAACGAGCTCGTGTTACACTGCCAGTGCAGTCACTGCGCGGCGCCATATTCGCCAGCAACGTCAGCCTGAGCCTCTACCGAGCCCGGAAGAGGATGGAGGACCACCTGAGCAGGATCGGCCTGGGCAGGAGCCGCCGCAGAGAGGGCGCCACTGAGGACATCCCAGGTAATCCACAGAACAGCCGGCCAGGGTGGGACGCGGGCCTGTTTAGAGAGGGCGCCACTGAGGATATCCCAGGTAATCCACAGAACGGCCGGGCAGGGTGGGACGCGGGCCTGTTCAGAGAGGGCACCACTGAGGACATCCCAGGTAATCCACAGAACGGCCGGCCAGCGTGGGACGCGGGCCTGTTCAGAGAGGGCACCACTGAGGACATCCCAGGTAATCCACAGAACAGCCGGCCAGCGTGGGACGCGGGCCTGTTTAGAGAGGGCACCACTGAGGACATCCCAGGTAATCCACAGAACATCCGGCCAGGGTGGGACGCGGGCCTGTTTAGAGAGAGCACCACTGAGGACATCCCAGGTAATCCACAGAACAGTCGGCCAGCGTGGGACGCGAGCCTGTTTAGAGAGGGCACCACTGAGGACATCCCAGGTAATCCACAGAACAGCCGGCCAGCGTGGGACGCGAGCCTGTTTAGCGAGAGCACCACTGAGGACATCCCAGGTAATCCACAACAGTCGGCCAGCGTGGGACGCGAGCCTGTTTAGCGAGAGCACCACTGAGGACGTCCCAGGTAATCCACAGAACAGTCGGCCAGCGTGGGACGCGGGCCTGTTTAGCGAGAGCACCACTGAGGACGTCCCAGGTAATCCACAGAACAGTCGGCCAGCGTGGGACGCGGGCCTGTTTAGAGAGAGCACCACTGAGGATATCCCAGGTAATCCACAGAACAGTAGGCCAGCGTAGGACGCGGGCCTGTTTAGCGAGAGCACCACTGAGGACATCCCAGGTAATCCACAGAACAGTAGGCCAGCGTGGGACGCGGGCCTGTTTAGCGAGAGCACCACTGAGGACATCCCAGGTAATCCACAGGACGGCCGGCCAGGGTGGGACGCGGGCCTGTTTAGAGAGAGCACCACTGAGGACATCCCAGGTAATCCACAGGACGGCCGGCCAGTTTGGCACGCGGGTCCGTTTAGCTCGTTGCCTCGTTTTTGCGAGGCGTCGTGGAAACTGTAACTCATAGCCACAGTATGGATGAAGTCTCGCTATGTTGCATT